AAAAAAAAAAACAAAAAAAAACAAAACAGAGAAAAACCCCAGGACTCATTGCTCCTGCAGTGGCCTCAGGGCTTTGGGGGGGATCATCCAGAGCCCTCCACATGGTGAAGGGCAGTGGGGATCTCCCCCCCTGCCTGGCAGGAACAGCAAGCGCGAGGGTTTTAGGGTTTTTTTTTCTTAAAGAGCTGGAGCTGGGGCAGACAGGGCAGCCATGGTTGGGGGGGAACTGAGGGAGCATGAGAGAGGGGTCAGGGGCAGCCCCCCACACAGCGTGGGGCAGTGGGGATCACCCCACCGCCTGGCAGCACCCAGTGAGCCGGGGCTTTTTTTTCCAAAGTGCCGGGAGCTGGGGCAGGAGGGGGATGGGCCTGGGCAATTCAGCTGAATCTATTCGGGACAGTGGTTCGAATCACCGAATCGAACCGCTGTCCCCTGAATCAGCCGAATCCGAAGCAAATACCAGCTGCCTCGCACAGGCCTAGTCTCTAGTTCTTGGCTCACATGAAGCAGTTTGGTTATCTGCAGACCACCGTTTCTTACCTTATGAATTTGTCGGCCAGATGCTCCACAAAATAAAAGATTTCATTCCAGTGGTGCAGGACACTTCCTGATCTGCAAAAACAATTATTGCAGGAGATATTAGTTTGATTATACACAGTTATGCCATTGCTTTAATTATTTCTTTGCTTAATACATTGTTATACATCTGTTCAGCTCATCTTTTTAGGTAATCCACCAATAACACTCCTGTTGTGTTTCCTTGAACAGGGAAAAAATCTCCCCTTGCATTCAGCTTTGAAATACAGGACACTGTAATTTATGCTCCATGTGAATACTTGAGGCTGTAAACGGACATAACATATGATTGTTACATTAGACCCTTAATACAGCACTAAACAAATAAACCAGCGTTTGTGCTGATCTGTGTCACTGTGCAGTGTTTTGGGTGGGTTCCATTGGTTTATTCACCAGGTTGCGGTGCAAAGCTTTCAGCTCAAGAATATTTCCTTCATTCAAAATACACTTAAATCTAAACCAGCATTTGCACTGTACCAGTGATAATGAAATGTAAGATATTAAAGGCCTACAATTCAACTCTTTTGGCTTCTTGTCTAGTAAAGGACCAAACACAAATTAGGCCTTAATTCTGCTATCAGTGAATTCATGGGGAGACTTACCATTGGGTTTGATGGGATTGGGACTGGACCAGAAATTTTCTTCTTTACACTGTGGTAACTAGGAAAAAAGTGAGATTAACCTAGCAAGTCAGCAGCAAGTGCACCTTTCTATGCATAAACTGTATGCGTCTTAATACAACCAGTGAGCACCTACGCAAATATTGAATTACGTTGCAATCCAATTGATTATACTTATAGGGCCTTTGTACACTCCACAAAATTGGCTTTTAAAGTGGCTTAAATGCCTTTTTGCACCGCTTTAATGGCATTGCTGTTTGCACATTCGGCAGCGTATTCCACTTTAATGGCATTGCTGTTTGCATGCTCAACG